CTAACATCAGTATGCAAGTTCTCCATACTGTTCTCTAAACATTCCCCATGGTACTTACGAGGAACAACACCCAATCAACCCTTTAAATCCCAGAAGTGATCAACATGAAACTTCTCCCCATAATATCCTTAGACTATCCAACAAAAAGGTAATGAGAATATTCAAACTAATCAGCTAGAAGTTGTTATCTTGATCTAACACCAAGTTCTCAAGACTAATTTACAAGGAAATGTGTTACAGGTGGAGGGGAGAATTAACAATCAGATCTTAAGAGTTAAAGGGTTAAGAGCTTCTTAAATTTGCGATTACTCTCTTAATTCTCATAACCTTAATTTTTGATTCAGGGATGATACTGTTGGGAGAAATTAATTGCTTATCACTCCCAGGGGTTAGAGAGTTAACTTAATGTTCGAATCGAAGCTTGGATAAAGTCGATCATTATAGCCTTAATTAGTAGCTGTGGAGTCGGCTCAGAATGTCATTGACTTCCGTATTTACTTTGTTCCCTCTCTGCGTTTTGTACATTGAGGGAAGGAATATTTTTGCCAACTACGAAAGATTTGTTCATTATTGAAATATTTTTAAGGCATGAATGGCAGCAAATGGATTTTTGGTTAATATCAATTGGGAAATGAATCCCATATTCTTTTATCGTCAGTTGATCAAGTATCAAATCTTCGTATCGATCTGAGGGAGGATTTACTTAGAAACTGGACGGATCAGGAAAAAGCCAATTTCATTCAAAGGTACCTGTATTCTTGAAAAGAAAATTAATACACGATACTCACCGTGTCATCTCCTCCAAGAAGTACATTCATGCATGGCTAACGGCAACCTTCAAGGAAAAGCTGACGAAATGTTTCAGGATAACACTACAATAGATCTAATTTGCATCGCATCTGGGCGGGAGTAGCATTAGTCTTGACAGTTAAATTAAGGTCCATCATAGTCTGGGTATGTTCCATTCGAGGGTACGAATCCTTGGGTGAAGTATTCCATATCTAGCTTGTTGAAAAAAAGGAGTAAGCTTCAAAGAAACTATGATTCTGCGTCGGGTATTAAAAGATAATGATTTGGTTTTAACAACTGGGTTGATAATGTTAATTGGCCTCTGTAAAGGGTCTCTAAAACTGTCGTTTCGAACGGACGAAGGGGTAACGCTCGAAACGTCAGTTTCAGAAACCCTCTATGAAGTGGCGTTGAAATTTATCACTGGGTTCTTACTAATGAGTTGTACATACACTCTCATTCGTAAATGTTGTATCAATTTCAGTAAAATTAGCGCCAGAACCATATCCGTCCCTGATTCCTTAAGGCAAATACGGGCCATAATGACTCGAAAGCTCATTTGCTTTTTCGATCCCTTACTATACTAGAGAATTTCAGGCATATCAAGGTAGAATGTAATTTAGATAAAGTCAATATAATGGCTCGTTGAATCGTAGGACCGTCTAAAACTGAGTTATAAGGAAAGTATGATTATGATAAGAATTAACGACTTATAAGTAATTCCAGTTCCGATGTGTCATAGATTAACCGAGGTTGGAAAAGATTTCCAGTTGATTGCAGACACTTTGCCGGGAAAGGTAAGGTGGATAAAGTGCTAAGTTAAAACAAAACATAACATTTCGGACAATAATTCGAGTTCAACACAAGTTTAATTTTAAAGTAATTATAACACCTGACCTTATCAAGTCTTCCTCAATCTCCCCACACTCTTCCCGATCCCAAAAGCAAAGCCCATCGCTTTTTTAATTTGGCATTAAAAACTGGATCCAGTGACTTCACATGAACACAGAGTGGTAGCATTACATACACAAATATCTCTGTCCAATGGTTGGCTTATTTCTATGAACACTTTTGTAACAATTTATATTTGCACGCCCAGAAGCTTGTGACTGACACAACATAGAAACAGAGTACGAAAGTGACATGTAAGGTCCACTCGGTTCAAATGCGGTAATATTGTAAGATCTCAAGGTGACGTCAGAGAGTGATTTAGCATTATCAACTGTGTTGATAACGTAAAATAGCCACCGTTAAGAGTTTCAAAGCTGACGTTTCAAGCGTTAGCCCTTCGTCAGTAGCGTTGTCCGCTTGGGATATTTGCTGTTTCGCTTTCTTCAGACGATGATTCCCAATTATTTTTTACAACTTTTAACTTTGCAGACGGTGGCTCAATGCATTCAGTATTACTACCTCACCAAACATAGATGTTGCTACAAGAAAGTGAGTAACTTTTGCAGCTGCTGCAATCGAGCTGCGCGCGCGTTAAGTCAGTGACACACATTAGGTTGCGCATATTTCTTGTGCCAGTTTTTAGTTTTTATCACATTTTGACTTCATCTGTGACTTGTTACTGGAAAGACGCACGGCAGCATGGAATCTATTTGATATATAGAACCCAAACTAAATTCTGTCCATTGATAATTCGGATAGGATTGTGGACGGACTCAATTCATTGTGACAACACGCCTCCGTCGCACCCGTTCTTCTGGGTGTCAGGCAATGTTCTTAAAGAACATGATATCAAAAATATGAAGGAGCGAGGAGGACAACACCTGTTGTCGCTTGGTTCTCCTCACGAGATGAATTACGACTTAAGTGCATTTATAAATAATTTTTACGCTATTTGAGAAGCAGAGAGAACCGTTTACATGGAAAATTTTATTATTAATTTTGACTTTTCATTATAGTTACTTAAGAGGGCGATATATCACAAAAATGGACTTAAAACACGTCGAGCTAAATCATGTGGGATCAGTCAGAGGGCGAACGAACAGAAACGAGAAGCAATTCGTGATATTCGTACTGTTGCTAAAGGCAAGCAACGAAAAGCGTTCTCTTGTCCAGAGCCTAAGATTGTAGAACCCAGAGAAACATCACGTTTTGAGAAGAGCAGAAAGAAGGAAGAGAGTGCCTCAGAAAGTATGATACAATGTGACAAAAACACCGCGGGAAGGTTAAGAAACAGCGATGCTAGTCCGAGTGTAGAAGTAAATGCAAGTTTACATAAGAACTTAAATGGGGCAACGAAGGGTAAATCAGCGAAAGATGTTAATCAGGGCAAAGGTGTTGCAAAAGGATCAAACAGGCGTGGCAAAGTTACCTCCGCTAGAGCAGATTTCATGACTAATTTGCAAGAACTGAGTCGTGGAAAATCGAAGAAAAAAATGATTACTAGTGACCAAAGCAATAACGACTCCACCAACAGAGGAAGTTTGGGTAATAAGCAAGAAAGAATGTGCGTTGACTCCTCGGACTTAAGCCAACTGGACAAAGCAAATTTTATCACCATGCGTGATGGAGATGAACTAAGTGAAGATTGTCCTGCACTTGATCGCACTTTGAATCCTAATCTGAGGAGTAGATATGGAGATTACGATAAAATAAAAAGCAATTCCAATTTCTCGTGCGGAAAGATGCCAAGTGGACCATCGTGTAGCGGTATAGATTCACTCAAAGTTTCTCCAACCACTACTAGTGAAAACAGGACGAATGGAACTCTTAAGCGTCGAGGAACCAAGAACGATCGAAAATTACTCAAACGAAAGAGGGCTGATTTAACGGACAAGGAATTTGCAACCGACATCTATCTAGGAAAAGGATTCAAGAAAGAACCATCTAAGGTCGATCATAATCATCTGAACTTAACAAATGTCGATATAACAACAGGTGTACCTTGTAGGGATCACGAGGTGGAGCCGAAAGAACGCAACACGGTAAAAGGAAAACGCATGCGACGTAAGACTTTAGCAGATGAATGGCCTGAATTCACAGATGTACTGTTGCCTTGTTTTAAGAGCGCAAGAGGAAAGAGTTTGAAAAGAAACTATCCCTCCGTTAAAATCCAGAGAAGAAACCTCTGCCCTGTAAGATCAACTGGCGAGAAACATAGTTGTTTTGACAAAAAGACATCTTGCTAAGTGGTTGAAGAGGCTAGACATATATCTTACCCAAAACGAGATGGGAATATTGTACGAGCTAAAGGCCTTTCCAAAGTTGGTTGCAGTACAAAAATGACTTGTAAGGGTGAAATTACCGCAAAAGATAATAGGAAATATGGAGGAATTTGGCAGAAAGACGATGATTGTGTAATAACGTGTGTGAGGAGAATAATAGAGAAAGAGCGAAATAGACAAGAGGCGATCTTAGAGGCTAATGTGGTAGATTCACACTCATGGTTCACTAGACCTTTTACGAAAGAATAACTTCATAGGGAATGATGGTGATAAGAGAAGCCTTAAGGGAAATGCTTGACGAAAAATAACTCCAAATGCCACAAACGTTTTTGATAAAACTACACCTTCGAGCTCGAAAGAATAATTTTTAGAAAACATCGAAAAGGGCTCAAAACACCAAGGGTTTCACACAAGCGCTCAAATTACGTGCTTAAAAGGGAATCGACCCAGACCTCCTCACGAGGTAAAAGTAACAAAGGAAACTTCAACGGTGACGAGAATATCTAAGCTTTCTAGTAACCGCCATACAAAGCTCCTAAGTCAAAGGAGTCAGGGAACGAGATGAATTGTAAAGGGAATCAAGAGATCGTGCTCGAGTGAACCGGGGAACAATAAGAAATCTGGGGAGGCATTTAATACGAAAAATCGTCACAGCAAAGACAACAAGACGAAGCCGCCTGAGCAGGGAAGGAGTGGAAAAAGGAAGCCCTGATTCGGCGCAACAAAAGTTGGCCGCAGTTTGGCATTATTGACAATAAAACCGGAAACGTTCTACTTTGGACAAAATATATATAAAATAAGACTACACAAGAAATCACTTCAGTAGAATAAACGGAGATGCTGAATCGTCTGAATTTTTTTAAACCAAATGATCTTAAATTATTTTTGCACGTAAAAAAATCGTTGAAAACTTTCCCTTAAGCGTTCCCAAGGACTAAAAATTATGATTCCCATCATGGGATTTGTAATCCCTAATAAAGGGGAGAGCTTTCTTAGCCTCCAAAATGTCCCTTAAGAGGGAGTTTCCTGCATTTTTTAAAAAATTATTAATCGATATAAAAATTCTATATAGTCAATTTCTCTCATTAAAATATTGTGCATACAATAGTAAATTACTAACAACAAAGCTTTACTTTCTCATCTAGCGACATAATCTGTGTGGAGTAACTTAAGAGAAATTACGCTTTGAAAAAATTTTGTTTAACTATGAAATCATTACTCTTTAACGACTTAACTTTTTTCGGTAAGGCGCTTTTTCAGAAACAAGTCACATTAAGAGTGACAATAGCAAAGCTTTTGGCCGATTAAAATAACCTTGGATAAGGTGCTCTGTCGTATTTATCCTGACAATTTTCTCATTTTCGCTTTTTGTATTTCTTCTAGCTAGCTTATACGTCTCTCATGTGCTTTATGATATCATAATAAACCACTCTAGGCGCGTCCAAACCCCAAAGGAAGTCCATGTGATCCCATTTTGGGATATACTTGTCATACAGTTTGTTCGGCAGCAGAGGTAGCAGCGCCCGCACATCTGTTGGGTCAGCTAACCAGTCATTCTGAGCCCAGTACAGAGCCACAGGAACAGTCATAGCTGTTGCATTATATAGGGGTGGGGTGTCCTGTGAACAAAGATTGTTGGGAAACATTTATTCTTTAGTGAACTTAAGATTGCAAAAAATCACTTGTTACTTGTAGGTCTTCGAAAAGATTATTAAGAACAGGACATAAATAAAGATTGCAAAGGGAAGGTATTGTCAAACTAACCATATTTCGAAATAAAGGGGGTAAGTCTCTAAAGAATCTATCTCTATCTATCTATCTGCATATTTCGAAATAGCTTGATACTGGATAGGCTCGATTACCAGCAGCTGTTCGGGAACATGAGCCCGCACCCCTCCTCCCGAACGCTTGGGGAGGAGCATGGACTGGATACGAGGGAGCAGCGACAATCGAGCTTGGATACTATACTCTCAAGCCGGAAAAACACAGATTATTTACCTGTCCGTAGTGTTCCCTGTTCTTCTCTGCACTTTCATAATTAAACATTTGAAACTTGTTGGAATCTGTCATCTGTATAGAGGTAGATACTTTAATTTTTGTTTCATATTGCAGCACCATTTAATAAATTTCTCAGTAACCACGACATAGCAGTGGAAAAAACTTTTCTTGTAAGGACCGTGACGAACTAAGAAAGTAAAAGCTTGATTCCATCTCCTGTGCGTTCTCTAAAAGCGTACATGAGATGTCTATTTTAGACCTTTACACGTAGTGTACAGCTGGCAGAAAGTATTCGCAAAGTGTGTCTGAAGTGTTGTACATAAGTGACATTTTTCGTGCAAGTACCTGATGTGTTTTAAGGTTGAAAAAAAAATTACTGTTTAACAACACGAATAATTAAGTTCCAAATAACTGAGAATGGTGTTTGCACCACTGCACGATCAAATATACAGATAGGACGCCACTTAACGTACCTGCAAGAAGTGTATCATGTTTTTCACCGATGTGCCAGCTGGAGTGTGAGATACATACACTGGAAGTCGCGTCTGTCAAGAAAATGAAATTCACATTTACCACTTGCTTGCCCGCTTCTAATCATATTCTCCATACTGTTCTCTATACATTTTTATAAGATACTGATAAGGAGAATTTGTTTAACAATCAAGAGCCTCTTTAGTTGGTGATCATTTCCTTTATTCTCGTGGCCTTGATGCGTGACTCAGGGGTGATATTGTTCGGAGAAATTAGATGCTAGTCATTCTCAAAGGATTAATCCAATGTCAATCCATACAGTTGGAAATAACAAGGAAAAGAGTAACTTAGAAAACTGAAAATATTTTTAGTGGAAGCTGGGTGATTCGCTTGCAGGAAGATTGTAGTCCTTCAGAATATGGTTGGCTGTAGAATATCTCCTCAATTTTTAAATTTCAAGTAACAATTTTTCTCTTCCTCTCCCCCTTTGTAGTCTTTTTGTATTCACACGCGGCGTGCATGATTTCACAAATTAGCCAATCACGTCAAAGAACTCTAAACTTGACATTGAAAACTGGTGTGGACATTTATCACGTACTATTTGTTTGTTTTTGCAGAGTTTTAGTTGATTTTGAGCTTTAGTTCGCCTAAATTTGTTACCCCTTTGTTTTGAATTTGAAGAAGTTTCGGAGTTTTTAATGTAGCCAAATGTTGTGGTTCATTTAACAAGTTTAATACATATTTTCCACGGAGTATGGACTCTAGCCTCTCTTTTCGTAGATGGATTTTGTACAGTTTGCGAAGACTTACCATATTAAGTTGTGTCTTGTCATATCCAGCGATGAGAAAAACGATATTCGAGCAGATTAAGTCCAATTCGTGTTCGTCACACACGTGGTCAGCTAACCAGTGAATGAGGAAATCGGACGGAAGGAAATCCCGCACACCCAGAAGTTTGAACAAGAACTAGGGAAGAGAAAAGAAACAAATGTACATTAATAAAAGTTTGCTCGAATCATAAACTAGTGAGTCGCTCTGCACGAACGAAAATAGTAAAAAAACTCGTTTAATCTTCTACGCATTTCATTCGATAATAGTAGACTTCACAAGTAGTTTTACAAGTTGGGTAAATAAACTTTTTTAGACGTTACATCGACGAGCATGTGATTTGTTTGGGGGTCACAGATTTAGCACCTGAAATAATTTGTCCTTACGACCTTAAACTTCATTAAAAACAAATGGGGGCTTCCTACCCTCGCATCCATTAACTAAGTAGCTTTTCTCTATTTTCCTGAAATTTTTCATCATACCGGGTGCACGTTCGTCATCGTCTTTTAGCACAAAAAAGAAAAAGTTAAGGTAACTGTTCACAACTTTAGTTTCTGTAACTACGTCTTACTCTGTTATGCGACTGAAAGGTGAAGGGGAAACTGGTAAAAGCTGCCAAGCATTAATTCTTACCTCAAGTTCCGGTCCGAGATGACGGAAATATTTAATTGGACTTTCAATGTGACCAGTAGTTGTCACGGGTCCAAGGGCAAAGAACCTCTTCACCAGTTTGGCCAATTCTTTATTCCTTGAAAACTCTGCAAAGGCGATGAGCGTTCCTTGCGAATGCCCCACATAATACAACGATGGCTGTGATGTCTTCGATACCACAAACTTCAACATGGCGGGAAGGTCATATCGAGCCATCTCATCCCAGCTATGAAAAAGAGAAGGTCAAAAACCATCGTAAGATGATTTTCAATTCGATGAACTTGTTTCAGTTTGAAAAATATTAAGATATTCTGCGAGGCCTAGATTACGAGCAGTCCCTCCTTTTCGTCGAAGTCCGTTGCGCGAGTGAAAAAAAAAGACAGGAAAAAAAAATTGGTGTTAGCACGCCGCGGAGAACTCTGGAAGTGGGCGTACTTTTCGTGTGCCTCACTGACGTTACAAAGCAGTAACCTTGGAGAAAACTTGCTCATGCAGATCCGGTGTTTCTTGAAATGTACCAGCCCTTCCCTCCTCTCTTCACACCCTGGTCAAAGGTCGTCCTTGTGACCCAAGAATGAGTCAGGGTTAAACGGTGACGCTCAAGATTTAAACCGTGATGAAAAAAAGATTATTCAGCTGCTTTGATGGCTTACCACATGTTTGAGTTACAGTTTTAGTTTGAAATAGAAATTTTAACTTTACATTAATTTCACATTTAATTTTGAAATGAAAAATTTAGAAACAGTGCAAAGTCTAGTGACTCTTCAGTCATCGCATGTGAACGCAGGATCTGTAAAAACACTCGCCAACGCAGATCTGGTGTTTCTTTTTTTAAATGTTACTTAGCCTCCCGTTTTAAAAAAAAATCCAGGTCATAGTCCATCAATGGGACAGACAGGATAACAAGGGAGGGGGGGGGCCTAGGGGAGCAGTGTGATCATTTTACCTTCGGGCCTGGTAATTCCCGATCTTTATAAGCTCAATTATTCATGACTCGTGTATAACCTTTTATTCGATATTCATGATTCGTTTTAACTTGTATCTCGTGATTCATGATTCCTAAACTTTGAATACTAAAATTCATAATTATTTGATTAAACCGCTGTAATTCATGATTCATCCCTTCCCCCCCCTCCCCCACTCGATAAGGGTAAGTGAGAAAGACAGATAAACGCGCAGACTGTGAGTGAAAGAAAATGTTCAACAGCACTAAAAATTTTTCAGAAAATTAAAATGACGCCAAGCTCACCTAAAATCCCAGAATTCATCTGAATGGACGGAATAATTGACATGATGAAGGCCATAGGTATTCCCTCGAACATTCCCAAGCCAAACGTCGAAGCCTGCATCAGCCAAGATAAAGGCCAGACTTTCATTTGGTAAATTTGTGACCCAGTTAGATGACGAACACAAAAGACCATGCTGAAGGAAAACCACAGGTTTTGGACCATCAAGATCTTCTAAATTTTCCTTTCTTCCTGCGGGTATCCTTTGTATTGTGATGACGTAACCATCCTCTGTAACCACATTGAATTCTTCAGCTGGGTAACCATTGTAGCGAATTATTGCACTCTGGGAAAAATGTCAGAACATGTCTGTTTCACCAGCTTTTTGCTCTTAATTAAAAAGAAAACGATCGCTTTGACAACCAAAAACCTTCCGGTCTTTCTAAATCACACCTCATCACACGCCTATTTCCCCTCCTCCCTCCACTCCCATCTGTTTCGCTTCCTTAACCAGAGCGATTTCGTGACTCAAAACTCGTGATCTCTCCTGTCTTAACTCGGGTCAAAGTACCGTAAACATATCCATGTCTGTCTGAAAAAAGCTTACAGCCGCTGACGCAAAAAATGAACGCCGAAAAATTTGATTGCGTTACGTGAACGCTGCGTCAGCTTTCGCCTCAACAATGCTTTTACTTTCTTGTCTTCTCAAAGAAACCGGAAACAAGCAATCCTAAAACCAAAACGAATATGACCAAAATTTCTCTTTGATCACTTAATCTAACGTTGTAAATAACGACAGCAAACTGAGCTGTAGAGTCGGTGGCCGTTGAAAGCAAAGCCAGTACGACTAACAACGCATGTTAAATCTCCATTCTTGCGTAATTCCTGTCTACGCAATGTATCAAAGCCAAGTTGTTCAGTTTCGAGTCTACAACTGTCTTCGGGAAATTCATCGATGTATTCGTAGTTAAGGAAGTAAAATTCCCAACCCATACACTTTGTATGAACGGAAGGGTTATAAAAACCAAACGTATTATTAAAGATAGATAAGCTTGCGAAGTTAAGTTACCTACCACGTTCATGTGAGTCTCAGGCAAATCTTGGAGATCGGAGGCGCTGATGGCAGCCACCGTGACCTCTCTTAGAGAGAACGATAAGCAGAGTACTACAATGCATATCACAGACATATTCGCCACAATATTCCCAGCAACTCACAACCAAAACGTACAGCAAATTGCACTAACCGCGGTTAAATACCAGAACTTAAGTCACGTGGCAGCTTAGTTCGTTTTCTGACAGCTCGTGACTCGCGTGTGACTGTCATTTCTGACAGAAATGCAATGCAACCGTTGTTTCACTGACTACCAATACAAGGCATTGTATTTATAAATGTCGCAGTATCGCACGTGAGATTCAAAACATCAGGACACTATATTGTAATAACGAAGACTTTATGTCACCTCATCAAGCGCTTTGTTCTGGCCTGTTTTCTATTTCCGTTCTCGCTTGTTTCCCTCGGGAGTTATGTTAGTTAGTTGATCAAATCCGCAAAATTGTAAACATCAAGAATTTTCAAAAACAAATAAATTTCTCGGAAGTTGGAGATTAGTGCACTCAGACTTGCAAATCAAAATTAACCATTGTGGAACATTACTATTCAGTTTTCATTTTCTACGCATAATTATCGTCTCACAACAACAAAGCGCATAATTATGCTGAGACAATAGACGAACCTTTCAAATCGTATTTCCAACGGACCGGCCATTGTGTTAGTCAGTGAGTAAGGGGCGAGCGCGCGTTTCTATAAACAAAATTGTTTGTTTATCGTCCTTTACGAACGTTCTCATCATGGCAAATGGCGTAGAACACGACAGTCTCTTGGAGTCCGAGCGACCACATCCGCCGAGCATGTCTTCGGGTAGTCCAGCAATCAAAATCCACTTCGAAACATTCGAAATGAATTCTTCCTTTCCAGTAGATTTAAACGCGAGTATAAATTCGATGAGTCTTCCACAAGCTGTCCGAGAAAATAGGTTAGCCCTCGTCAGGCAGTATTCTCATATGGGACAAGATTTAAACGTCGCTGACTGGAATGGTTTTACAGCCCTCCATTACGCTGCCCGCGCCAACCAGGTTGAAGTGGTGATGACGCTAGTCGAGTGCAAAGTGGACATCAACCAACAAGGACGAGAGTTACTAACGCCATTACATGTAGCAGTACGGTAAGTTTTTCTTGAACTTTGCTTCAGTAAACATGATTTGAACAAAGTTTACACACTGGATTGATTAATCAAAGGAATATTAATCACCTTTCTAAGTTTTAACATCTTTATTAGCTTGCGAACAACATATTGCCAGATTTTTAAAACAGATTTAAATGGTCGATAAAGCCATAGAGTATTTTTGCCGCAACAAATCAGTAAAAATCTGTTCTTGTGTGTAGCTCCAGACTTTTATTGTTACTAGTTCAAAATAAAAGGCAGTAAGAAAAGCTTATTAACCTTGTTTTGCATCACACCTGAACAAAACAACCACGAGCAAAATACATATTACTTTATTGCTATCATTTTTTTAAAGCTAATCCTCAATTTCCCTTTAAAAAAATGTTATTTTTCATCAATATAATTCGATCGGACCTAAACTGCATACTAATTTGGCTCATAGTGACATAACAAAGTTGGACGGTTGATGCTTGAGACCGCAACCGGTCCTACCTAGATTAGCCAATCAGCGATGAAGAATTGGTTTAGCCAAAGACCTACCCGTCCGAGAACTCTTAGAGACTTTACATATAGAGAAGATTCTCACGATCTGCGCTAAGTTGTTTGGCAAAGAGTTCACTCAGTTTTTGGCTGACGCAGCACAGCTCTTAGGGACTTAGTAACCCATTGTTATAATCTTTTGTTTTGCGTTGCTTCAGAAACATGCCTGGGCAAGTTGGAATTGCGCTAAGCCCCGTCTAAATAAACAAGCGTATTATTGCTTTATTCTTACAAGGCTATCAAGCCGGCTGTTGGAAGAGAAGAAATATGTTAGGTCTGGGGAGATTAATTGAATTTTTATCGTTAGTTTTAGTTGTAAAGGGAGCTACATTTAGTCACAATTCTTTATTAGTTTGTAATTACGGAGTTCTTGTTTACCGATCGTCTTGTTACTATAGCAGAGGGTGGAACAATACCATCTGCCGCTTGCTGCCTTTTTTTTTCTCCCGTTTTAATTTGGTTAACGAAGCATTGATGAGCATAACATTCTTCAAAAGAAAATACACGTTTTGTTGTAAGAGGGAGAAAATATCGCATTCAACGTTCGGGAAAAATGCCAGAAAATCAACCACAAAAGCAAAGAAAAGCTATTCGTCAAAGAAGATTTTGAGTGAAAATGAATTATCAGCGGCGGGCGAAAACTGGGTACGAGAAGGATCGCTTTTTCATGCCCAGTTTCAACGCAGCACCAATGCCACGCTGAAACTATCGAATAGGGAGTACTGGTAATTTACCACGATGCAAAATCGTGAGAAATAACTTCGTATCTGAGTTGGGAAGACATCAATTTGCCGCAGTGAAGACGTATTTCTTATTTAGCTAGCTGTTCAGCCAAGCTGATCACTAATTTATCGCGGAGATTTTCAATCGATGTTTAGATGTGCGGTGCACAGTGATTTGACTATGTAGTTTCTTGTTTACTGAAGAATACTATACATCGTTCAATACCAATGCTAGTCTTAAAATCGCGCTCAAAAAGTTAATTTGGCCCTTCGCGTTGTAAGAGGCTGATTCATTTGAACAGCACGCAAACTTCCGTTTTCTAGGCCTGAAGCTTAAGCTCAGCATACTTTTATCTTTCCTAACAGCTACAACAGCTATGAAGCTGTTAAGACACTCATTGAGTATGGCGCCGACCCCTCCATGAAAGATACTGACGGTGCAACCCCGCTCCACTTTGCGGCTCGCCATGGTTGTGTAGACTCGTCAAAAGTTCTGCTCAGTAACAGTCTATCATCTGTTAACTTTCAAGATAACAGCGGTATGACGCCATTTCACTTAGCCTGCGCTAGTGGCAAGCTCGAGTTATGTGAGCTGTTCCTGGAACATAAGGCAAACATCCGAATGCGCACTGTGGAAGAAAAGAGCCCTTTGCATCTTGCTGCGTTACACGGAAACGAAAAGATCGTTAAACTCTTAGTCAAAGAAGGTGAGTCTGAAAACTATTTGAAGCCTAAATAATAAGAACTTTTGTGCATTAGCGCCGCTCAAATATCTATCCCATGCGTGAAAATACCATACAAATTTTTATCTAGCTATATAATTTTTTTCACAGTTTCTTTTTCCTTTTTTTTGCATTTATTTTTCTTAAGAGAAAACTAAAGAGAAAAGAAGAGAAATAAGGGCTTTCATTATTTCCGTTTGATTATCAGTTAATCTTTCAGTAAACAGTGTATAGGAGCAAATCATGGCTTCCCTATAGAGCTTTCCTCTAGTGTATCTCTACTTGTTTTGAACCAAGTATTAAACTGTGCGTGCACACATCTTAAACGGCTGCGCCAGATAGGTAGGGAATTTGCCACAACATTTTTGCCTCGACGTATTTGACCATCGTTTTCCTGTTCCAGCATTTCTTGAGTTTGGGAACCCGTTAATCTACATCGATGCGCCTGACTTCGAAGGAAACACTGCTCTTCACTTAGCCTGTCAAAAGGGCCACAAGGAAACTGCAGAACTTTTGTTAAGTCAAGGAGCTGATATGATGGATGGTCTGGAGACATTTGGAGAATCAAGTGTGCACTCTTCCCTGCACCTTGCAGCCGCCTATGGTCACATGGATATTGTGGAGCTTTTGATATCGCATGGTGCTTTTGTTGATAGTAGAGATGAGTGGCAAAGAACTCCTCTTCAAAGGTGAGAAAAGTGCACTGTAATCCTTTCAAGAGATCAGTGTCAAGTAAGTAAACAAGATAAAAAAAAAGACTCTCTTTATTGAAAGATGATTTGGGTTTTTCAACTGAGTTGATAATGTACATCGGCCGCCGTGAAGAGTTTCTAAAACAGATGTTTTGAGTGTTAGCCCTTCTTTGTCAGAGCGACTCTTCGTTGTGGCGATAAGATTTCTCCACCAAAAATTCAAAATAATAAAGAGGCAGGATGTTAAGTTTATGTGTCCTAATTTTTGTGCAACGAGAAAATCTAACTCTTTTATAATATTTTCTATCGTAATTGTTGCTTGTGCAGAGCTGCTGAATTTGACCGTGTGGACACCGTCAAGTTCCTGCTGGATAACGGAGCGAACATTGACGCCAAGGACAACGAAAACCGCACTGCGTTCGTTTTGGCAGTGAAGCGAGGCAGGACCAGAACTGCGGAGCAACTTCTAGATTCTGGGGCTGACTTCAAGTCGCGCGATGCGTCGCTTAGGACCTGTCTACACCTTGCTGTGAAACATAAACGAGAAGAAACTCTTCGCATGCTCCTTGATCGAGATCAAGGCCAGTTGATCAACGAAACAGACAAGGATTTGCAGACGCCTCTGTTTTACGCGGCACATAAAGGGAATTTGAAGGTAAGGGTGTTCTAGACAGCAAATCTCTGTTGATACCTCCCTCAAAGCATTTTCTCGTGCTGTTAGATGACTCTGAGGGTAAGTGATTGGCTATTACATTCTGGTGCACTTATTGCCGCGCTACGCTGCTGGTAACAAGTATTTATGCATTTACACAGCTGTAAAGTACATCACAAAGTCTTTATTATCTTGAAACGTCCAATGATAATCACCAGATCCTTCAACTGCTGATAGACAAGAAGTGCACGGTGGCTCCTAAGGACGTAATGGATCGGACCCCATTGCATGCCGCCGCAGAACACGGTCACGTGGCCTGTGTGGAGGTGCTTTGTTTGGCTGAACCAGGCCACATTAATGACAAAGATGAACGTGGGCTTACACCTCTTCACTTAGCAGCGCTTGGAAGCCACAGGTTCTTTTTTTAATTTATAATCCCGTCTCTCCCCTACTTGCTTGATTCGTGCATTCGTGTCACCAGTTTACACCGCTTAGTATAAATAATACTTGCAACATAAAACAGTGGTTCTTCATCATTTGATCCATATTTTAGAGTTCTACGTTCTGGAGATATCAAAAATCGCTAGCATTCAATTCGTTTCTTTCCCACCGGCTGGCACAAAATGTACAAATAAAAGTGAGCCAGTTACAAAGAGAAGTTGTTTTCCATTAGGTTCGAACGTTATGTCCTCAAACGTGAGCTTTGCGCGCTC